TTTGGGGTCCTTATAAAATAAGGATCCTGCTATTAAGGGTACTATATTGGGGCCCCCTATTTTCGGAAACCCCCATGTCCCAAACTGGCCTGATGGTCCCGGGGCCGGCGTCAGGACTTTCAACAGTGGGCGGACTACCAACGATTCTGCCCGAACGAGCCAACTCTTAGAAATTCATGATCCATTCTCTTTTGGCAGTAAATGGGGATAGTCGGCCGCGTCCCCGATTTTCACGCAAGACAAGTGGCCAGTGCGACGCGCTCGGGGTCAGAAAAAACCCTTAAGCCCCTAGCCATACGCTCCTAAGTAGCTCCTTTTCGGGGCTACCTTATAGGATTCTAAATATGAACCATAAAATGGAACTACTTAGGAGCCTATGTGTAAACCCTGCATCTTTGAGGCTTGGGATGCGCAGAGAGATGCGTAGCTCAGAGCCGTCATGCCATCGAGGCAGTCCCGCGCATTCTTGTCCACACCAGCCTCCAGCAAGAGATGCACGATCTCCAGGTGGCCTGACAAAATGCATGAAGGCATGAAGATGAAGAAGAAGATGATGATGCTGATGATGAAGATGGTGAAGAAGATGAAGATGTGAAGATCTGGAGATGATGATGATGATGATGATGATGGTGATGGTGGTGATGACGACGATGATGATGACGAATGATGCTGATGATTATGATGATTATGACGATGATGATGAGGACGTGGACGAGGACGAGGGCGAACAAAATTGCCACGAGGACGAGCAGAGGACAGAGTGTGGACGATGATGACGATGCCGATGCCGATGAGGATGGCGATGCGTATGAGGATGTTGGTGAACGGTGAGGGAGCAAAACGCAAAAAAAATCGCACGGGAGCCATTCTGCGAGATTGCAAATGGTTCATAGTCTCATCGGAATGCTGGCCTTCGGAAGCTGCGTATCCGAGAGGTGTTCTCCCGCAGTAGTCTCGCAAGTCCATGCTGGCGCCGGCTTGCAACAGCAAGCACACAACCGCAGAGTGGCCTTCGGAAGATGCATAGCCCAAAGCAGTCATGCCAGACTTGCTCCTCAAGTCCTGGTCCGAACAAGGGGGTTTGCTGTAGAGGCCTCAACAATTAGACTAAGGCTTTGGGGGTTCATTATTACAAGTATAGTACAATATGGCGCCCCCAAACCCTATTCTAATGATTACTGCCCTCTATGCTAGCCGCCCCATGCCAACGACCTGAGAACTAATCCTGTGATCAACTTCCTCAAATCTTGGTCCGAAAAGGAGGGTTTATACTTGGAGGTTATAAATAGTTTAACTATACTTACAACTTGACAACTCTTTTTTTTTGGGGGGTGGGGGCCTATAACCCCATGAACCTCCAAGTAGGCTCAGCTTTATGCTCGGGGGGACCTCTGGAAAATGCCTCCTCATCCAGGACATGCAATGGTGCAGGACGCTTTGGCGGCTTCGGAACTGAAGTCGACAAGGGAACACGAGTACTGTTGATGATATAAATCCTTAGCAGTACCTTAAGGACCTTTAACTTTGGGAATTATGGTATATTCCTTACTTGGGTAATGCAGGATTTATATCATCAGCCATATTGAGCGCCGCAAGCTGAAACCAAGTCGCGAAAAACATCCAGCTTAACGCCCGAAACATCTGAAACCTGATGCACCCTCGACCAAGAGCCATGCTATGCAGCTTCGTACTTACACTCGCACAGAACGCCATGAACCCTTGAACCCGTGCGGAATAATTCGATACCAACCTGGGGCACCTAAGCCTAGACCAGCCCAAAGTCCAGCTGGGCGCCAGCTTCCACGAGCAAACCCGCGATCTCGACATGTCCTTAGGCATCCGAAACGCTGGTATCAAGATATTAGCGTGCAATTTGGAGCCTCGTGCATGGGTACCGTGGCATCCAAACTCCGAAATCCCAGCAGCCCCAGAGCCAATCCAAGGCTCGCCTAGTGCCATGACCGCTTGGACCAACAACAAGAATGGCATTATGGATTGCTTTACAAGGGGAGTTTAGGGTTCGGGGTTTAGGGGTGTAAGGAGAGCAGAGATGCCCCCCACCTCAAATCCATGTCATAGATGCAACAAGTGACTTTCAACCACAGGGGCCCAAGCTTCAAGTGTGGTCAGTAGTGACTTCAGCTCAGTCAGTTTTGTCTCATAAACGCTGAACTGCCCAAACCTCGAACCCACCACCGCTCCCCCAAAACTCACGACTTCCACCGATCTCGCAACTGGGCTCTCCAGGGAAGCTGCTTCCTTGTCCAGTGACCCCAAAGCCCCCAAAGCCGACACTCCCAAGCCTCCAAGGCTTTACCTCATAGGCCCGAAGTAGAGCAAACAAAAAGGAACGGAGTCACGTCAACCCGTACCGAGTGTTTGAACTAGACCCGAAACCCTAAACCCTAAGCCCCTTCAAGGAACCCTTCAAACCAAAATCTTACATGAACCCCTCCGCTACACCCTTTCTCCACCCTTTTTAAGGGGGAGATGGGCAAGCGTCCCTTGGAGGCCGCGCGGATCAGGGCAGTCAGGCCGAAGCGGCGGTCAGAAGCGTCCTTCAGGGAGGTCTTTCGGATCCAGGATTCAGGGGGGGTTTCAGTATAAGGGCTGCTGTGAGGGCTAATTACTACAAAGGTTGAGGGCTGCAGGATATTTAGTGTGCGAGGGCTTAGGGTTTTGGAGTTGTGGGGTCTTGTGTGGCCTTGAAGCTTGGTGGGGTGTCTTCAGGACTTTGGGACTTTTGTGGTTTCTGATTATCTGTGTCATCTTGGGCGTTAAGCTTATGAGTGTTGTAGGTGATCCGCCTGAGGGAGGGAAGACAAGCGACAAGAAGAGGAACGGTATCACTGAGAAGGACGATGCTATGCTTTATGGACTGTTGCTGCTGTTCGTACTGCTGGCGTTGCTGTCATCCCGCCCACAAGCTTTTGCTGCTGCTGAGTATCTTCACACTCAGTACAGAAACATGTATGCACACGCAAACACATGTGTACGTATGTGTGTATATATATATACATACATGCACATGTACAATGTACTCGTGATTGCGTATTATCTGTGAGAGTTCTGGCTTATGCTGTATAAGATAATTACAGAACTCCAAAGTTAAGCCTTAGTTAAGCGATTCGTACTGCGTACATGGTTCCTGTTTCGGTCCTTGTGAGCCCCTGCTGCCAGCAGGACCTTCGCCACCTCGACCTGGCCTGACGCGGAGGCGTGGCTCAGCGCCGTCATGCCGTCGTTAGCATCAGGCAGGTTCGGGTCCTGAGATTGAAGCTTCGAGCTCTGGGGCTTTGCAGCGCAAGGCTCTAGGGTTCTGACCCTAAAGGTTGAAGACTTTGGGATCTAGGAGTTTAGGTCAAAGTCTGAACCCGAGACCCAGGTTGACGCTCGACACCAACACATCCCAGTTGGGGTTTGGGTTTTCGGAGGGACTCTGGCACCGAGTCTCAGCTTGTGCCTGCACCAGAAGTCTGCCAACTTCTGCATGACCTCGTGAACATGCTCGGCTGAGGGCTGTCAACCCAGAGCTGTCCCGTAGATCCTTGTTGCAACCAGCTGCTAGCAGGAACCGGACCATGTCGACGTTACCTCAGGGGCTCCGAGCGGTTGATCTTCTTAGCCGCATTAGCCCTTCCCATCTAGCCTAAGTCTTGCGAACGTGTATGTGTGTGTGTGTGCGCGCGCCCAGACTGTGACAAGGAAACAGCTGCATCACCAAATGGTTACCCGGTTAAACCAACAGTCAGCAATACGTTCTAACCAACGTGTGTAGATACATGTCTGAATGTGCGCCTTCGTGTGCTTGTGCAAAGCATCACATAGCGTACACATATGGAAAAGCGTGTGCACAAGGTCACAAACAGGTAGGTAGGTATGCTGAAACACAGACAAACGTAGATAGATAGATAGATAGATAGATAGGTAGATAGGTAGATAGGCACATAGGCAGATAGGTAGATAGATAGATAGACAGATAGAGAGAGAGAGAGAGAGATAGATGGATAGATAGATAGATAGACAGAGAGACTGATAGATAGATGCTTTTGTTAAATACAGAAAGAACTATGGTTGCTTATATGGTTGCTTTACCTTTTATTCCCTAAGGATTGAGGTCACTAAGGGCTTAAAGATACTGAAGCCTGTGGTCTAGAGGGCTTAAGCATGTAAAGTTCTCGAGTTCTCGAGGTCTACCTAACGAACCCATTAGACAGACTAAATAGGTTAGATCGATTAGATAGATAGATAGATAGATAGATAAATGGATAGACAGATAAATAGGCAGACAAATGGATGGCTAGATAAATACATTACACAGACTAGATAGATGAGAGGATTAGGAAGATAGATAGACAGATACATTAGACAGGCTAGATAGATTAGATAGATTAGAAATGAAAGATAGGATAGGATAGGATAGGATAAGAATGGATAGGATACGAAGATAGATAGATAGATAGATTGATTGATAGAAGATAGATGGGTGGACAGACAGATAGATAGATAAATAGATAAATAGATACATAGGTAGCTAGATAGATACAGACTAGATAGATTAGATGGATTAGAGAGATAGATAGATACATAGACAGGCAGATAGATAGACAGATAGATGGACAGACAGTGCAACAGACCGACAGATAGATGGATGTATATAAAGCTATTCGAGGCGATAGCTTGGTTAAGAGAAGCTGCAGGATAGACGGACCTGAACCCTAAACCCTAAACTCTTAAACCCTAAACCTTAAACTCTAAGCCCTAAACCCTAAGCCCTAAACCCTAAACCCCTAAACCCCCTAAACCCTAAACCCCTAAACCCTAATCCCCAAACCCTTAAACCCNNCCCCCCCCCCCCCCCACCCCCCGACCTGCCCAAGAAGCAGAGTTGAGAGCAGTCATGCCTTCTCGATCCATGGAGTCCTTTTTAGGGATCAGGGGTTTAGAGGCTGACGGGCGGGTTTTGAGAGGCTGGGGCCCGGGTTTAGGGTTTAAGGGTTAAGG